ACCCTCATACCGGACGGGGTATTGAGGTTCATGATTTTGGTGCCCATACCGGACGGGGTATGGGGACGACTCTGGAATCAGGTTATAAATGTTAAGGGTTCACGGGTAGTGGGACACCTATGGATCTTCATGGATACTAGTAGGCTGGTAAATGAGGAAAATGTATTGTTTAATGATTGAAATGCAAAGGCGTGGTAAGTATTCTGTTATACAGTTCATAGGATTTCATGATGATGATAATGTTATTATTTTCATAAGTTGTTTTCATGAATCTCACCGAGATAAGTGCACAGCAAAAGTTTTTATGTTAATAAACGAGTTTATTATAAATTAGGCTCCATTGGTCTTTTTTTATGTTTTCTACCTACATTTAACTCCGTGGCGGTGAGATAGTGTGATGTCTTTACTGGGCTGGTGTAGCTCATTCATTTCATATCAGGAAGACATTATTCCCGAGCCTATTCCGCAGAAAGAAGACGAAGGGGACGCTTAAAGACTCCGTAGTTATATTTATAGTTTTTATTTTCGAGTATCTCTTTTAGTTAGTTTGTTCTTTTATATTTTGAGCACGTTTTTTGTTTTTTTGTGTAAGGGATGTTAATCAAAATTTTTATTACGCTTCCGCATTTGATATTTTTAATACGCATATTTCATTCTAAATTTTCGGGGTCGTTACAGTATAGACAGTGGGTTTGATTAAAAGATTAGACATGATTGATTTTGGTTGAATTTTTCTTTCTATTCATTTAAGAAAAAAAAAACAAAAAACAAAAAGTGGGGAATTGATGAGTTATGATGACATAGTGAATTTCATTATCCCCAGCAAGACTAATTTTGAGGCATCGAGCTATATATTTATTGCCTACCTAGTGCTTTTATTACTTCCAGTACCTCCAAACACTTTATCCATACACACACATATCTCCATATACATATATAAAGTATTATATTACTAATTTATTTAATATAACATAAAGTAAATTATTAAATTAGTCTGCCAAATTTGATACTTATTATAATTTAATTTCTACTTTTTGTTACAATTTAATTTTTAATGTTTTTAATTTATTTAAAATATTTAATTTTTTGGTATTAAAAAAAAAAAAAAACTGAAATTGTTAGATCATGGTTAAATGTTTTAAAAAAATAACTTTGACAGATTAATTAAATTAGTAAATTAATAAATTGATAATAATATTAAACATATTCTTTATTGTTATTAATTTAATTAATTAGTCAGAATTATTTTTTAAAATATTTAAACGTAATTTAATTATTTTAACATTTTTTCACTAAGAAATGAAAAGAGATTTGCATTTGAAAAATAATAAATAAAAAATTAAATTATAATAAATACTAACTTTCAATATTAATTTAATTTTGAGAATGCCGTTGGGGATATCTGGCATTGAGATCCTTTTAAAATAAGAAATTATTTTTTAAATAATTTCAAAAGAAAAGAAATCGTTGACTTTTCCATTATTGTACCAGTATATCTTTGATTTAATTGAACCATATGATAACTTAATCTAAACTATTTGATTACAGCATATACATACTCTTTTTTTTTTTTTTTGTGTATTCATTATTTTTATAAAATTTAACAACTTATTTAAATACGAAATTAAGTAGGATATGGTTTTGGATTAAGTAATGGGTCGACCTAATTAAAATTGTAAAAAGTTACTGTGTGAATTGTTTTGGAGGGGTAAAAATTTATATATTTTAATAATTTAATGAAATTTATATAACAATTAATTTTATAATAAAAAATAGTACAAATTGAGAAAAATGGAGGTAGCAATCATCTAGATAAGGAATGATTAATGAATTGATCAAATCTTTTAATTTAATAAATTAATTTGATTAATCAAATAAGTAAAACCGATGATAATCCAAATAGTATTCTTTTCTATCACGCAAGTATTGACGTGAATATAATAAGATGCCAAAACAAGTATATATTTATTCATATAGTAGGACTAAAGGTATTGAATTGAAGCCAATGGAGGAAAGTTCCTATAAATTTAATACATATATATATATAATATTAATTAAATTTGCATGTTAATTTTATTTTTTATTTTTAAAAAAAAGAGTGTAGTCGTTTTCTATATGAGAGTCTTTGGGACAGTGAGAAAGTAATCAAAAGGCCGAAAGAAAAAGAAAATAAGAAAATGAAGCCTTCATCTTCAATTTCTGCCTTCCTCATCATCTGTTTTCTGCCCTTTGTAATCATGACTCCTCTTCTCCCATTATTACCTTCAAAAGCCTCTTTCTCTCTCTCTCTCTCTCTCTCTCTATATATATATATATATATATATCTCAAATATATATTCATCTCCTCTTAAAACCCTTTCTCTAAAACTTAATTTCCTCTTTTGTGAATTGGAAATTAATTATAAACCAAAAGCCTTTGGTGGGTTTAAACACAATGTGCATGAACTCCTCTGTATCTTCCTGCAGCCCATGCAGTAGTCCATTTTCTCCAGTTTCTCGTCGCCACAGATACTGGCCATTAAAGAGACACGACCGTCGAGTTCGCAGTCTAAACAGGTCAGTATACATATATATATATATGATTTATTTCTCATGGGTAATATATATATTTATATATACACTCACGGAGATATAATTAGAACATAATTTCAGACTCGATATACTTCTGTTCCTCTTGTAGGTTGACCATTTTTTATGTATCCTCTTATATATACATTTTTTCACGAGGGAATTCGAAATATTCTATTCCCATCTGTATATTTATTCATATGCTATGGTGGTAGTAGCTAATATAAGGATTTGTATAAGATTTTATAATTGTCTTTACTCTTTTCAACACTAGATAGTTTATGTTAGAATTTAAGTAGACACCAAAAGTTTTTCAAATCTCAACTATTGATTGTTCTGAATCAATATATTTAAGAATAAATATATGGATATATAAGAAATAATTTATAGGATTAATGTTTGTTGATGTTAATAATTTAGGAGGAGGAGAAGGTTATCATCATCAAAAGATGAAGTAGGAAAAGAGGAGAAGGAGATGGAGGAGAAGAACTTGAAGCTGTACATGCAGAACCAAAGCATCATACAAGAGAACGAGAGGCTGAGGAAGAAAGCTCTTCTTCTTCTCCAAGAGAACCAACTTCTTTTATCTCAGCTCCAACTCATCAACCTCTCCAAATCCCACTGATATCCATTTTATATATATATATATGTTACCATGCCGAAGAAGAGTAGAACTCAGTATGTTTTTTCTACTATTTATTATCTTCATTTTTATTTTTTTAGTTATTTTGTAGTATGACTTAGTATTTTTCCTATTTTAATTATGTGATCCTTGTTTTTTTTAGTGATTAATAAAATTAATTTGGGTTGGGAAAATATATTTGATATATATAAATAGGCTTGATCTTTTGGGTTTTATTTGTTTATGAATGGAAATTATTTGAAGTACTTTTTTTATAATATAATATTGAAATGCTCTTAAATTCTGTGTGCTTATCAACTATAATTGGTATTGAGTGTATATATATATATATATATATATATATATATGTTTCAGGAATGAAGCCAAAGACAATCAGCGAAATATATATTTTCTATGTTTTATTAATTTAACTAATTTTGTTACAATTATTTATAGTTTAATTAAACTAATTCCAGCTTTCTTGAATTAATTTTTAAACTACAGAGTTAATAAAGCTGGATTCATTTTCTTATTTTATCATCATTTTGTATTTAAAAATTATTACCAAATAATATTAATTCATTTACTTGAATTGAAAATAAAATTGAACAAGTTTCTGTTTATTCTCACTGAATTGTTGTTATCCACAAGTTTAATCCTTGTGAATTTAACCTTTAAAGTCCGGCAGCATAACAGGATTAAGTCCAAAACACAGTAGTGCTTACCAAAAACCAAGCTTATCTACCAAACAGGAAAAAATGATCAGCAGGGATCGTTTATTT